TTTTTTTTGAGACAAAGTTTGGCTCTGTTGGCAGGTTGGAGTGCAGTAGTGCGATCTTGGCTCACTGCAACCTCTGCCTCCCAGGTTCAAGCTATTCTTCTGCTTCAGCCTCCCAGGTAGTGGTATTACAGGTGCCTGCCACCACGCCTAGCTAATTTTTGTATTCTTAGTAAAGACAGGGTTTCACCATGTTGGCTAGGAGGTCTCGATCTCCTGACCTCATGATCCACCCGCCTTGGCCTCCCAAAGTTCTGGGATTACAGGCATGAGTCACTGTGCCCAGCTGCCACAGTTATTCTTAACAGCAGAGTTATTCTTCTAGTAGTTATTGTTTGTATGATTTTAATAGAGGAGATGGATTTGTATTCAACCAGTCTACATTTTCTCACCTGCTCCATCTTTTAACAAATGGCAACCAGCAAATGCTATGCTTTCTGTGTCAGGATTCCTGATATGTTTGGTTCTAAACTTATGTACCTAGCTTTAAAAGCCATGCTGCAGCCTACCGATATAACAATCAGAGCTTGACATAAAGTTATTAATGTGAAATATTTTGTTCCTTAATTTTAGTTTTTATAGATAGAAAAATATGGAGGTAAAGAATACCTAAAAATGACAGATGAATATGATTACATTCAATAAATATGGTGAAAAAAATGCTCATTAACCTTAGTCATCTAAGTAATCAGCTCTATAACTACATATAATAGCCATTTTAAATATCTCAACTTTAGTGGACATTTACTAGAGTTAAGTAGCATTTGGACTAAAATTGCATTCCTTTGAAGCCAAATATTACAGGATATTCACCCATTAGGCCAATGTTTATCCAGCACTTACTGTTTGCTAGGTGTTGGGATGTGATGATAAGTAAAACTGCCCTAATCTTTATTGTCATAAAAGTTACTATTTGGTGCAGATTTTATACATTATATAAGTGCACACATAATATTTAAGTGGAATCACATTATGATTGAGCTAAATTATAGGAAGAAATGAAAACTTATAATGGAGGTTTAATAGAAGATACTAATATCTTCAACCATGTTGTAATTCATCCAGTTCATCGTCGTTTCTTCCTCCCTGCAAGATACTCCATCCCATCCTGTTCTTAGTCCTGAAAATTGCCCTCTTTCTACTTCACTCCTACATAATCCATTCCCTTTTTTGTCCCTCCAGGACTGTCCCCCCAGGTCTCCCTCAGCTGTACTCATCCCTTCATATACTAGTCCTGGGGCACTCAAGGGAGTGATATTTCAGTGGAGACTTGAAGGATGTATATGAGCTAAGACCATGTCACTGCAGTAAAGTGAGTGAGAGATAGAGAAAGCTGGAGAGGTAGGAAGGGGTCAGGCCCTGTAGGACCTTGTGGATCACGGGAGGATTTTAGACTTTATCCTGAGTGATGAGTAGTCATTGAAGGATATTTTTTGTTACTATACAATTTATTTTGAGAATGTGCAAGCTCACTGTTGAGTGAAAAATACACTTAAAGCTCACTTTAAGTTGAAAAATACAATGAACATCCATGTACCTTTTACTCAAACAATCGTATCATTTATGATATTTACTTTATCATTCTCACTTTATATAGGTATCATTTTCTTCTTTTTTGACAGTCATTCAAAATAGGTTGCAGACATCATAACACCTAACCACTAGGTAATTCAGCACATACCTCCTTTGACCAAGGACACTCTTCTACATAATCTCTGTTCCCTTATTACTGAAATAAATTAATCACATTAGTCAATAAACTTTATTCATATTTTCATAATTTTTTCAAAAATCTGTGTGTATATATAAATAAATATATATGTATATAACTTGTAAAGTCAGGATTCCATAGAGATTAATGCATTACATTTGGTCATTTAAGTCTTTGTAGTCTCTGTTAATGTACAGCAGTTTTCATGTCTTCCCTGCCTTTTCTTTTCATTGACATATTGAAGAGTCCAGGCCATTTGTCTTAAGGAATGATCTACATTCTGGATTTATCTAATTGTTTACTTACATAAACATTTAACTTTTTCCTCTATACATTTCCTGTAAAATGGAAGCTACATGCAACAGAGTAACAGCATAGTTAGACATAAGTTAAGTGTTTTTAGTGAGAATACTTCATAGGTGATGTTGTAAACTTTGTTTTTATTAGATCAGGAGGCCTATAATGTCAGGACATCCTACTGTTAGTGATGCTAAGTCTGCTCATTTGGTTAAGTGGTAACCACTGTATGTCCTCCTTGTGAAGTTACATTTTAACCTCTGAATTAGTAATTTGTAGGACAGTGCTTTGTCACCATGTGACTATTCTATTCTCTAACAGCTTTTCACCTGTCAGTTTGAAGATTCACTGATACTCGTTCACTGAAGTGTCTATGCAGGCAGTCATGTGATTGGATATGTATTTTCAAATGATCACTGTGGCTTCTGTATGGAGGATGGATTGGAGGAGGCAAGAGAGAAAGTGGGAAGATGAACAGTTAAGATGAAGTCTAGCTCTGTATTTGAAATAAGGGTGAACTAGGATGGGCAGTACAGGTGGAGAGAACTGGATGGGTTTGAGATACATTTTGGAGATGAAATTGAGATAATTTGCTCTAAATTACATTGAAGAGGAGTGGTTCTCAGGTTTCTGGCATCAGCAAATGAGTGAACAGTGGTGCCATTTACTGAGGCATAGGGGTTTTGGTGGAGCTTAGGAAGATTGTGATTTTTGTTTTGGACATTTTGACTAAAAGATCTGGAGCTTAGAAGAGGGTTCAGAACTGACAATAAATAGCCGGGCGCTGTGGCTCATGCCTGTAATCCCAGCTCTTAGGGAGGCAGAGGCGGGAGGATAGCTTAAGCCCAGGAGTTC